AACTACCAGGCATGCAGAGCCTTGGACTCAACGTGACCTCAACTTGCAGGGTGATGCAAATCATTTCGTCAACTCCTTATGGCTGCAATCTCAAACCAGAGCATTCCACTACAGATATGCTGAAATCCGAGAGAACGGCTACCTAGTTGACCATGTTCAGATGCCGATCTTGGTGCCTTTTCCGGATGATTGGCCTGAAGATGTCAAGTTCCAAGACCTCATCAACAATTGGGCCAACCAAGGCATGGGACAGTACCTCATGGATGACAAAAAGGTTCTCATATCCCATGTCACAAGGAACACCGTCATCGATGGCATTGCAACCAAGCACAACAAAACACTGAATCCCTATGGCGCCTTCACTGTCCCACGGTCTCTCGACGGTTTTGCCAGAACATTGACTGAGTTTGTCCCTGCTGTCCTCATCTGCCACAGAGGCAAGACCCATGACACAGGACACTACTTCGCCATCCTTATCTACAGGGACTTGATGTGGCTTGCAGATGACGGCAACTACCTACCCTTCCTGACACCGAAATTGGCCAGTCAGATCACACAGATCTGGGCTGTCAGCATTGACGTCTTCAAAACCCCTCAGCAGGTCACCACTTCATCCAAGCCCACAGAAGCGAGCCAGGAAAGCCCAGGGCCACAACAAGCTCCACTACGGCAATGTCACCAATTTCGGCAGGCCATCCACATTTTTGTGGAGACACACCTGGATCCTCAAAGACATGGGGAAATGTGTCAATACTTCACTATACGTGGTCGGACAGCATTTGGCACCCCAGCTTCACCAAACAGTGACAACACTGGCACTCATGGAGGGATACTCGTGTTAGCTGATCCATCATGCTGCTTGACTGACCTTGACAGCTTCACGATGCACGGATGCGGCTACCAGGCCTTTCTCTCGCAACAGTGAAACACTACAAAGTGAGACGAATGCAAGCAATCATTGGCAGAATTTTAGCATTGCTTGAAGCCACAAAGCACCCGTATGTCATCATAGGTGACTGGCAGAACCCACCGGAGGCCATTGCCAGTACTGTCTTACCAGCCAAGATTTGCCTCTACGACAACCCTACGAATGCAGCTGCGCAACACTGGGCAGACTGGTTGTCCAAGACTGAGCAGTACCTTTTGCAGGAGCACCCTTGGGCGGCGCAGGGAAGAGGTGTCAACTTACAAGCAGTCGCAAAACCCCTGGTGCCGACTACACCAACCCAGACCTGGCGTAAGGGCAAGCCTGCCTTTTGGGAACAGTTGAAGGCCAGGTTCCAATTGGCCTTACAGCAACCCGAGACCACGAAGCATGGACCAGTGAAAGGTTTCATATACCACACATCACTGGTACAAGTACAGAGATCCTCATGCTGCCGAGATCATGCTCCAGACCATGCAGCATCAACTCAAGGAAGCACAACAACAGGCCAATGATGAACACATGCCCCAATACCAGGAATGGCTCACAAAAGGACAGCAGAAAGGCCTCAAAGGACATTTTTCGAGGACTCAAAAGCAGTGAGTTGGCTTGGCAAACACCATCTCCAGCCCGTCCTCCGAGTTTCGCAGAACGGCGTCCTCCAGAGCAGCCATGGTCAGTGCGCCTATTGACGAGAAGCTTATGGGGTGTGTTGAAACTTCTTGCAAGTACCTTCTTCATTGCTGTTGACTTGCCGTATGTTCCCGGCTACGATCTGGTGCTTGCTGGCCCTAGTTGCCAGACCTTCTGCAGATCAGGTTGCTGGGCCAGAGGGTCAGCCTGAACCGTCACGCATTACTCCAGGCTACGTATTCTGTTCTGAAACTCAAATAGTGTTCTTCTGATGTCCAAAAAATAAGCAACTGAACAATGCGTTCACTGGTTACCTTTCACAATGCAAGCTCTGAACCTCTCTCACGCCACCGCGAGCTCGGTAGAACAGCGTTCACCAAGTAGCTTCAGGTGACACGCAGCAGCCATTGCCAGTATCTTCGCATGCTCTCTCTGCTCAGCTCGCGACTCGCCTGTGTCTACGGAAAAGCTCCCCCGAAAAAATGTCTAGCTACGTCCAGGTGTACTGTGCGTTTTGTGTTCAGTGTGACGTCTTCAGTCTAGTGTCTGTCCGTGTATCGGTCTCTGTGCGTGTGTCTATATGTTGTTCAGTGTGACATGTTCAGTCTAGTATGTCGAGTCCGTGTGTGGGTCTCTGTCACTGTATGTATGTCTATGTTGTTAAGTGTGACGTGTTCAGTCTAGTGTGTCGAGCAACACGCGCGATCTACGCAGAGGGCCGCGCGCGCATCGCACCAATCGCACTCTCGCCTGCATTTCGTGTACTCGACGCGCGCGATCTCCGCAGAGGGTTGCGCGGGTACAGATCAAGTCGCACTCTCGCCTGCATTTCGCGTACACGCCACGCGCAATCTCCGCAGAGGGTTGCGCGCGCACATATCAATTCGCACTCTCGCCTGCACTTCGCGCACTCGACACGCACGATCTCCGCAGAGGGTTGCGCGCGCGCCGGACAAATCGCACTCTCGCCTGCATTTCGCGCGCTCGACGCGCGCGCGCGCAACTCTCGCCTGCGTTTCGTGCCCTCGACGCGCGCGATCTCCGCAGAGGGTTGCGCGCACACCGGACGAATCGCACTCTCGCCTGCGTTCGCGCACTCGACACGCACTGTCTCCGCAGAGGGTTGCGCGCGCACCGGACAAATCGCACTCTCGCCTGCATTTCGCGCACTCGACGCGCGCGATCTCCGCAGAAGGTTGCGCGGGCATGGGACAAATCGCACTCTCGCCTGCATTTCGCGCGCTCGACGCACGCTTTTTTCGCAGAGGGTTGCGCGCACACCGGACAAATCGCACCCCACTCTCGCCTGCATTTCGCGCACTCGACACGCACGATCTCGGCAGAGGGTTGCGCGGGCATGGGACAAATCGCACTCTCGCGTGCATTTCGCGCACTCGACGCGCACGATCTCCGCAGAGGGTTGCGCGCACACCGGACACATCGCACTCTCGCCTGCATGTCGCGCACTCGACACACACGATCTCCGCAGAGGGTTGCATTTTCGTTTGACGCTGTTCGCCCCACCCTCCGCCTTTAAGCGAGAATTTATAAAGTGGGGAAATGTTTTTCATTATTTTTCATTAGGACATCTCCCGTGCAAGTTTTTCCATACACGCATACTCATTACACTTGCATCCTTTCACTTGGATACTTGCCGTTGGATGCTACTTGCATCCTTTCACTTGGATACTTGCCGTTGGATGCTTTCACTCTTCCACTTACACTGGGGTACGTATAGAAGTGTAAGTGTTCATGTTCATGTTCAAGTGTAAGTGTGAAAGCGTCAACGTTCAAGTGTACGTATCGAAATGTCAGTGTTCAAGTGCAAGTGTGGAAGTGTCAGTGTGTGAGTGTGAGTGTCGAAGTGTCAGTGTTCAAGAGATTTTCGGGAAGAACCCTTCGCAATGCTTTCGGGAAAAAGTACATACATACATACATACACGCATGCATAGATCTGTTCGAAGACACCTCCGACCAAGATCTCCAAAGGGTGACAGTCCTGTATGTCAGCCGGAACACTAGCACACCAGAAGCCCCAGGCAATGAACCCCATCTCAAAGAGATGCTGCTTTGGGCCTCCGAACCACACCGAGATATACAAACATGCTGCAGCCAGATTAGCCAAGATCTATGCAGCCAAGGACCACTACATCCACCAGCCAAGGCAGGCGCACAAAGCAGCGCAAACTCAACTGTGTCATGCAATGCCACAGGCCATGGACAGCGCCACACGACAGATGGGAACCGCACCGCAGTGGGTTTCACTGCAGTGCATGTGGCCTCAGACTTCACCAGGCCCCCACGGTCTCGGTCATTGAGGAGAGGCTTGCGCAAGAGTGCCCTCAGCTGAGTCTGGATGAAACCTCCGGACCAGCATAGTCCGCACAAGCCACTGCCCAAGAAGCAAACTTGAGCGGAGGTGATCCGCAGTCTCATGGATCACCAGCAACAGAACAAACCCGGCAAAGAGACCCATGAGCTCGAAGAGACGAAGGGATTCTTGCGGTGTGGCAAGTGTGGCTGCAGCGCCTACAAAAGAACTAATGAGGCAGCCTTTCAGGCCTTCGTCCAAGGACCTTGCATTGACCAAGCCTATGAGCAGGCTCATGCAGGGCGTCCCAGCCATAGTCTCTGGCAGAAAGGAGAAAGGGTGAACTGTCGGCATTGTGGCGTTCACATCCACCTGGACACTCAGCAACCCATCATGACAGGAGCACTCCAAAAGATGTGCAAGGGAGCGGCCGTCAGTGGTTCCTTGGTCGAACTCTTCAGACGACAGGCTGAGAAAGCCAGTCAGTCACAACATCATTATCTGCCTCAGGCTGGAAATACAACCATAGCAAAACAGACACCGCCTTCGACAGGGGATGCAGCACCAGCAGGCCATGAACCCCAGCCCTCACTGGTGACGCCGCAGAAGATGGCGTCACAGGTTCCCAGTGCATCTCTACTCGCCCCCAAGAAGCTCACTTTCAGTGAAGCCACGGGCACCCTTGATGCACTGCACACCACTAGTCTGGCAGCAGCCACAACCACTGAGGCTCACAACTGGCCGGGACTGCGCCGCAGAACACCTTAGGGCACAGTCAATCGACAATGTGATGAGACACCAAAGCCCGACCGGCAAGAAGGTGAAAGCGGCGAAGAAGAAAGCTCCACAGATGACACCATGGAAGTGGATAGTGGACTTCTTCTAGGGCACGAGAACCAGTGCCAACACCTCCGGCGGCAGCCCAACTGTTTGCCACAGGAGCAACACGCCAAAACGGCTGATACCCATGCAGACACAAAAGAACCTTTAGAAAAAATACATACATACAGACCGACCGGCCGGCCGACCGACCGACCGACGAACGGACGGACGGACGGACGGACCGACAGACAGACAGACATACATACATACATACATACACATTGTATTTTGTTGTTTTGTTCCGTGCAGGCCTATCCGAAAGAAGTCTTTCAGAAAGTTGTGGAGTTGCTGGCGCCGGACTGGGTCCGTCACTGGCTACTTTTAAAGAAAAGAAACCAATACATTTCGATCGGAACATTGTCGCCATTGTCAACACTGTTTTGTTGATTATTTGCTTGTAGGGTTTGCACGCGTGTAGGAGATCGATGCTCATCGAGGACGTGGCTTAAATCCAAACCATCCACATGCACGGGGCACTGCGCAGTGTGATGATATTTACTTCCAAGCAGTGGAGGCTTGGGCTTGCTGACTTGCTTTGTTCCTTGACTGGACGTGGAAATAGCGGCGTTCTCATCGTGCTGCTTCATCACGAACAAAAGCTGGCTGCAGCTGACTGGCGTTTGAAAGAAAGTAAAAACAATGTTTTGCAACTCGAAACCGGCTGCGTGCAATGTGCATGGATGCTTGCATTTGCACTGGTTGCATGTACCATACATCCACAGTGCATGTGCGTGGGCCAGTGGATACAACTGTTTGCTGAGAAACAAGAACTGCGGGAGAGTCAAGCTGGATTCTGCGCACTACGTGTGAACTCTGATCATTTTCGGTGGCCTCAGCACGGCTTGATTCATGCGCGTGTCACCAGCTAAAGTTTTTTGCGATGCACGGTTTTGCTTCTAGACTTGCTAGTAGGACGTTTTGCTGGGACCGTATGTTGTCTTGTCATATGTGTTTGTGTGCTCAAACGGCTCTAGCACAAAGGCAGTATGCAGGGCAATTTCAATGCAGCAGCTGCTGCTGCTGCTTGCTGCGCGGAGAAAACCCACAGTGTTGACCACGGGGCGCGGTCAGCCGCATCTCCTCGACTTGCAGGTTTGTAGGCGACTGAAGTGAGGTACAACAAATTCCCCCAATGAAGGGCAATGCCTAAGCACCACGCCCGAATTGTCAGCTCAGCCATTGCCAATTGTTTTGACGCAATTGGGTGTACGCGTCAAAAGACATACAGTACTACTCTGTTTGTTTCTGTTCGTGTTCTCGCTCGAGGACATGCGCAGGCTTTGTTGCTGCGAACTGTTGGTGGACAGCAGCAGATCCAGCGCTAGCATCCCACACAATTGTCTTGATCTTCCAAGCTGTCGCGCAGCTTCTTTTGGAGAGTCAAGTGGCAGCCTTTGCATCAACCGAGAACCGAGTGGAGTACTTCGCCAGTTCCAGTTTTCAATTGCTGCTAAGAAGAGCTCGGAAGAACATTGGGGCAAGAGGGCTTTCAGCGCAAGAATTATTGGATATAATATATATATATATGTATTTAAAAAAAAAAAAAATATATATATACACATATTGATTGGACTCCTATTCACAAGCACACCACACTTAGACAACTTCAATCTGGCTCCAGACTTGGATGCTCTGATGGTCAAAGCTTCCTCAATGCCTATCAGCGCACACTTCTCACCCCAACCCGCCCCAGTTGAGCGCTTTGCTTTGTGCAGTGAGTCTTAGTGAGCTGCGTCGCATTGATTAAATGATGTGCGGTTGCAAACTAGACTTTGACTATGCCTGACCTTAGACTTATATATATATATATGTATATGAAATATATATATATATATATACAGAGTTTCTAGATTTTACACACTACTGCCTGCACTTGCAGCCGTTTTTGCGCATCCAGACTGTACTGCCATAGAACCTTTCCGAACCGTGTCCTTACATGGTTTGAAACAGCTTCAGGCGGCAAACAAATACTACCTGGATGTACCTCATTATGTGGAAGAGGCCGGGATTTGGAGTTGAGACATAGCTGTTTCCAATCACCCTGCAACGGTTTCGCTGTGGCCGATTGATTCAGCAACGGCGCAAGTTCGATGTCAACTACTTTCGGACAATGATCTGTTTATTGCTGGACCACATTTCGGACTCCATCACATGGTTCAGCTCACTACATTTCTTGTCCAGGCATTTGCGTGGATTGAGAAGCTGAGTGGACGAAGCTACTCGCTTTTTGAATACGTTGGCAGCACCTTGACTGCCTTTGTTAGGCAAGTCCTAAGCTCCGACAAGTTCCGGCGCAGTGAGTGGTGTTGTTTCCTCAACATTTGTTGGGTCACTCTTGGTTCTTTGCTTGACATGCTTGAAACCTTCTCACACTAGCTCGTGCCAGGCAAGAATGCGAAGTATGTCCTCATCATCATGGGCTCTGGTGCAGGAGTTGTTGAGGAGTATCTTACCAAAATGGGTGACAAGGCAGCTTCGGTGAGTTGAAAAGGGCCTTCCTTGTTTGTATCCTTCTTCGTTTCGCTGAATCCGACCGAAGAACTTCTCTTGGCTTTGGAACTTTCGAGGCCAAGGACTGTGGCTGCCTCAATGTACACCTCTACAGGCTTCCTTGCACGCCCGTCCCAAGGGTCGCAAAGCTGTTTCTTTTGTCGAGGTGATCATTGCTTGCGTCCGTGAATCGTTGCAATAGGTGTTTCCTTCCAATTTATCTTGGACACGGGAGATTCCAACGTTTTCTTCCCTTGACAAGTTGACTTGGCTGGCTTGTTCTTTTGACACCTTTGTTCATTTTGTTAACACACTTGAAGGCCATGGAGCGAGAAGCACTTTCTCGCAGCCTTGCCAACACTGAGCGGGTTGAGGGCAGTGGCAGTATGCAACAAGATGAAGGAGAAATCCATCAATCGAAATTTCCTGAACTGACACATTTGCAAACGTGTATATATATATATATCTATATGTGTGTGTGAAGTATTTTCAGTAGAGATCATAGCTATTGTATATAGCATTACTAGCATGACAGCTTGTACATGAAACTGTGTTGGAGCCCTCTTTGGATCAAGAAAAGATTCGCATGGTAGCGGAGCAAGGATAAGGGTAACCCCCTTTGAGCTCCAGGAAGATAAGCCCCTAGGCACTGGGACCCCGGTGCGATTCGAGCCATAGATTTGGGGCCTTTGGAACCCAAACAGCTGGACTGGTGATAAACTGTTGTGAGCGACACTCTGTACCCCGTACGTTGTGTCAGAGTGGAGATGGAGGAGATCAGCGAAATCCTTCAAACTAGCGCAGAGTACGCTGGCAACAACATCAGCAGCTGAGGCAAAGCAGTTGAAGACAAGAAGTCATCAACAACTGAATGGTCAAAACTCACTGCAAAGCCCAAGATCAACGCAACCAGGGAGTGGCCATGGGTATTTGAGAAGAACTTGAGTGCAGTTGATGAGGGCTACATGATGGACCTGACGGAAATTCATGAGAAGCCAAATTCTGATAAGCTTGACACGGCTTGGCAACTACAGAAGAGAAGATCAGGTGTGTCAAGCTCTATGGACCCTATGGATTGTTAGCTTCATTGATGAGGGGGAGAGCACTGCAATTGGTTCCAATGGGTTTGATTCCTGGAGGAGTTTGAACAAAGCTTTGAAACCTACTTCAAAGGCTAGAGGATTAGCACTTTTGGGAGCAGCAACTAGCCAGCATTTTCAGTGAACGGCGCGCTACAACCTCAACTTCTGAAACTTGAAAAGAAGTATTTGATGAGATGGTCAAGGCAGGGGTTACAATTCAGGAAGAGTTGAAATCTGCGATCTGTTTGAGATGTGCAGGTGGGCAACTCAAATCATACTTGAATTTGACAATTGGCGACAATGTTCAATACTCAACTTTGAGGGAACAAGTGTTGCAATGGGACCGTTCTCAGCAGAAGTTGGCTACTTCCATGGCGGCGAGTAGCAGTGCAGACTATCAAGGACCCATGCCAAAGGACATTGATCGAGCCCAAGATGCAAAGGAAAAGGCAAGAGGGGCAAGAATGACCATCAAAAGGGCAAAGGCTAAGATGCCAAAGGCAAAGGAAAGAAAGGGAAGGGAGATCAGAAAGGAACGGAAGGTGATTACAAGGGCAAAGGTAAGGCAAAGACCAGAAAGGCAAAGGTGTGGCATCATGTTACACTTGTGGAAAGCCAGGACATCTCGCTAAAGCTGGAGAAACCATATTCGACAAGTAGCAAGTGATTCATCTTCAGGAGGAGCATCAGTGACTACTCACACAGTTGGTCAACAACATGCCACTGTTAGCGAGCAGAGTAGCTCAGCAGAGACCAGACCTGAGCCAATTATCTTTGACCTGCGAGAAAGCGATGATAAGCTAGAATATCACGGAATTAGACTGATTCGCTTTACATTGGAGATGATGATGATGGTGATGATGATGATGATGAGCCAGAGACCCAAGAATTTGAGGAGATTGAAAATTAAGATGTGAAACCGTGGTCAGGAGGTGAGGAGACCTGGAGAAGAAAATTTGTATGTGACCATCATTTTTGACAGTGGAGCTGATGTAGCGCTTTTTTCCTTTGAGTATGGCAGATCATTGGGAAGGAGAGTTGGAGTTCAGCGCAAAGACGAAGCAGGGGAACCGTATCTGCATGACCTTGATGGACGTGAAGTACTTCTCAAAGAGAATGTGATCTTCAGTTGAAAGGTGAACCAGCCCATACTTTGCTATGGAAGACTGGTGTAACGTGGTTGGGGAATCAACAGCAGAGAGCAAATGTTGGAGAATGGTGGCTTCAAGATACCACTGGAATTGCGAAATCGCTCTTTGACAGTTCAAGGCCGCGTTGGAGTCATTCGAGAAGAAGATGAAAGCGGCTTGGAGTTGCAAGTACCTGAAGCTTTGGAAAATCAATCGGGTTGCAGATTCAATGAGCATGAACTGAACTGCTAGTTGGAAGCTTATCGACTTAAGGTTTGTGGGTCCCACAGTCATTCCAGAAGTGGAAGGATCACCAGAGTTGATGAGAACCACTTTGGTGAAAAGAGGATGTAAATGGCTAATGCTTGAATTTTGTGAAAGCACGGTGAAAAAGGAGGAACTTGACGAGCAGTTCTTTGATGATGCAGCCATTCCTTCAACCGCAATCTTAAGCAATGAGCCAGCGCCGCCAGAAGATATGGGATTCTTTGCACCAGGGTTCAAGAAGCTTGAGAGCAGAGAACAGAGAAACAAGTGGAACAGGCAAGGATGAAGACCTTGAATGTGAATTACAATTGAGCCCAATGGATGTAGACAAAGTCTTGGCGAATCAAGTAGAGTCGACCAAGGATTCTTCTTTGGCAGCTCTAAGGGCAGCGTGTTCATTTCTCGGCATTTCAGGCAGTGGCCCTAAGCTAAAGGTCTACAGCAAGAAGATGTTGAATGCCAAAAGCTTGGTGAGTGAAGCACAAGCTCAAGAGACAAGAGAGGCATTAGGCCAAAGTGTGGCGAAGATGCCAGATGAAGCCACTCAGGCAAGGCGCAGGCTGACGCACATGCCATATGCCAATTGGTGTAAGGAGTGCGTTGAAAGTGTGCAGATCGCCGTGAGAGAATAGATGGAGTAAAGAGAGCAAGTATCCCTGAGGTAAGCTTTGACTTCTGCTACACAAGAGCAAGAGGTTCAGAAACAAAGTCAGCGCGGGCAGTATGTTGGCTAGTTGCAGTTTGCAATTGGCTGCCAGACTGGACTCGTTCACGTTGTGCCATTCGGAAGTCAATGTTGCCTTTTTGTACAAGAGTTGATGAATTTCAGTCAATTGTTGGCGTATTCAGCAATCGCCTACAGGAGTGACACTGAACGCGCAACAAGACAAATCTTAAAGATGGTGATCAATGCCCACCACAGACTAGGACTGACTGCCAGGTTACCTCAAAGCTTGAGATCATCCGCTTAGATCATTCGCTTCTGTTAAAGAATATAGTTGACAGGGTGAGGTCTTGCAGGAACTTTCATTGCGCAGTCAAGACTTGGCATCCAGATAGGATCAGATCATGCACTTTGGACTTATGCAGCAAGACATGCCAGCTGGGCGCTGAATAGATGTCAGCCGGTCAGGGTTGAAATTCTATATGAGCTTGTCTATGGCAAGAGTTACAAAGGACTTCTCGCAGAATATGGTGAACCAGTTCATTGGTTATATCAAGAGTCCCAACAAAGGAGAAGCGAGATGGCGTCTATGCTTGCTCTTGGGGAAGGTTGAAATGCAAGACACTTATGCGCTTACAGATGGTGTGCAGGTAGTGCTCAGCACACGCGTCAGAAGAACAGATCAAGATTGGTTCAAATGTTTACCCATCTACAAAAGCTTCAATGCCTCTGAAAGTGGGAATACCAGACAAGCTTTGGAGGCAGAATCATTGCCGCAAAGAGAAGAGCAAACATTCCTCGAGGGCGTGTGACGTTGAAGTTTACGGCTGAAGATGCAGAAGCAGTCATCGCAAAAGCTCTTGAAGGAGGAAGTGATTCAGAAGAAGGAGAACCACTATTCGCCGCTGGAAGCCCTGTGGAGGCAATGAAAAGAGATGGAAAAGAGATGGAAACGAAAAATCAAGCGGAGAAGAAACTCCAAGTAAGAAACAGAAAGTCCTTTTTGCAGATGAGAAAGCACTTGAGAAGGTGCAAGAATTTCCTACCACATCATTGCCAGCAAGACAACCTAATCCAGGTACTCCTATACTATCTTAATTGAGATCGCCATCAGCGCCATCGGGGCCAAGGGAAGGATTTGAATTGCTCGAAGAGGAAAGTTCAACGAAGAAGCTCAGGCCGTCAGATGATTCAAGCAAGAAAGCCAAGATCAATTTTGGTGGAAGTTGCAGGTGAAGGTCTTTATCGTGTAGATGAAGCGTTATCCCCAGTTGCAGAAGAAGTTGATGAAGCGGACTGGGAAGAAGAAGGAGACCAGCCAGAAGAGGAAGTGAATGGACCTGGATGCTTGTGGCGTGATCGGGAACATGAAACAGAAGAAGATCCAGAGGAATGGACAGAGTAGCTGATGAAGTGGAAGAGAAGATTCCAGAAGATGCAAGCGCTAGAGAGACCAGAACATAGCGCAGAAGGAATCAGTTTCCTGACAGCCCGCAATGTATATGAGTGGAGGAAGAAGCCATATACCACCACGAAGATGGAGCAACAAGCAAGCGGTGGAAGAGAAGACCAAGACCAGAGTTTGCTGTCGCTGAAGGAAAGAGAGATGACATTTTCTCACCAGCGGCTTCAGGACATGTACTGAAGCTTCTACCCGCAATATTCTTGCAGAGAGTCAGTGAGGAGGAAGAAGCAAGAGAGGGAGCAGGAGCATTTTCCCAAATTGATGTGAAAGACGCATTTTTGCAGGTTCCGCAAGAGAAGCCATTGAAAGTGAACTTGGGAGGAGAAGAATTCTTGGTGAAGAGAATTTACCTGGACAAAAGAGTTGGAGCAAAAGCATGGTTTGACATTTTCACAGAGTACCTCACCAAGGAACTGAATTACAAGTTCAGTGCTGAGCGTCCACGCCTAGGAAGAAATGAGGAGGGTACCAGTTTGACCCATGCGGGTGACTTGATCTTCACAGGAGACTCAAAGTACAATAAAATCTTTCTTCCAAAGATTCAAGACAGGTTTGATACCAGTGTGAGCAAGATTGGGAAGATTGGTGATGAGTTCAGCTTCCTGAGCAAAAGGTGCAAACTTGAGAACGATGGACTATGGATCCAGCCAGGTAACTACATTCAACAGATGCTGAAAGCCTATGAAGAACAAGATCAAACTTCAGCAGTTACCATCAGACAACTCAGTTCAGATGGAAGACAAGTCAGAAATCTTACATGAACAAGAGAATGTTAGCCTTTTCGGAGGTATTGT